CCCCTGTCCCAGCAGATTTATACAAAACCACAGATTTGTCCCAGTTTTATACAAGAAATGTCTGTCACAGGTGTCCAATTTAATCCCTGCTAACAGTAAAAAGAGGCATTAATCATCATATGTTTAAGTGAAATACAGAAAAGCTGCTGAAAAATGACCAAAACACACAAAAAAATTTAACTATAGTGACACACGTTAGTCATGAATGGGCCGAGTGCAGAAAAGTTTTCCTTGAGTACGCACTCGATTCACAGTTTTACTATTACCAACCACCACAAACTGAGGGTGTCCCAGTTTTTTATTTTGAAAATCTGATCACCCTAAGTTAGAGACCTATAAAACATAAACCATTATCATTGTATTAGTACACAAAGCTGGGCATCAAAATGATACATGTAGAACAGTAAAAGGCATTTAATTTACCAAACTTTACTTATTCAGCACAATACGTATAATTCAGAAATTCCTTGGCGAGCTACTTGGAAGGGAGTGGAGAGCTACTGGTGACTCCCGAGCTACAGGTTGGAGACTTATGGTCTACACAAACAAGTTACTTATTGTGCTTGTGTCTGCTATATAGCTATTACCTAAGACATCCCATGCAGCATTATGTTGTAATTTGCACATTTTAAATCGTAAATTTAATCTAAAATGATTTAATAAAAGAAACAAGTAACTGCTGCGCCCAATGGGAGCTGACTTTGCCGTAAACTTTATCACATCAAAGAATCCACATCGGGATCGATAGTTGCAGATTTGTTTTTTTCATTTGTACCAAAATGACTACATGATGCTGCCGAATCCTATGCATATCTCCAACTAAGAAAAAAAAAACCCAGGACATGCTGGAGGGACTATGTCTCTTGGCTGGCCTGGGAACGCCTTAGGATCCCCCCAGAGAACGAGTCGTAAAGGAAGTAAGGGAGTCCCTGCTTAGACTGTTGCCGCTGTGACCCGGCCCCGGATAAGTGGAAGTAAATGGATGGATGGATGGATGGACAGAGAAAAAAAAAAGTAAGTACAGAGGAGAAAGCGTAATGCAAAATGGAGTCTTGAAAATGACTATGAAAATAATTCCTGAAAATTAAAGATTGCTTAAACATACTTAAACGAATGACTTCAAATACAACTTGGAGTGAGTAAATGAGGGGAAACTAAACATGGTTAAACTCCTGAAAAGTACTTTTTGCACAATAGGCCTGCTTTAATAATTAAATTAAAATGTAATCACAACTTTGAGATTTTGTGGAGTCTATAACTAAACTAGTATCATTTTAATTGATTACTATTACAAAGCAGAGTAGTAATTCACAAAATTTTATAGTAATAGTTATTTTCTCTGTCTGTCTCTATATTCTGTTGTATATTAATTTAAAACTCTTTATAAGCTGGACCTTTGGGTTGGCGGGCGATCATTGCAACTTCTGACAGAGCAACACAACATGCAAGTCGTGTTTTGTTTCATTCACACATGTTTAATTAAATCTTTATTGTTAGTCTGTGATTAGACTTTGTGATTTCATGATGCTGCAGTTTTCAAGTTTACAGCTTTTACCTTTTGTTTACATTGGCAATCCATGGCCAAATGATTCTGATGAAGGTGTACGGAGCTGAGTGTTTACTGTTCGAGAATCATTATGTGTTAAACATGTGTGACACAACTCCAGGTATGTTTGTGATGAGGAAAACCACATTATAATACCAGAGAAGAGCGTAACATGGGCCTTTAAAGTAATTACACAATTAGATGCAAATCACTGTGGTATTTAATTTCACTCATGCAACAATCATTTGTAATCTAGAACAAATGCGTCATCATTTTCTTTTCAACTCGATAATTGTTAAAATACTACCTTAACTTAGCACTCCTCTTACTTTGTCTTCCATTATATTGTTGAAAGTATTAAACCCCAAAAATTATGGAGTACAAAACTGGAGAGACGAGGTGAGTGAGTAAATAGCAGAGTTGTTGAGAAGCCCCTCTCAGCACCGCAGCTCGGGCTTCACTCGCACCTGTGTGTCGATCGCACAAACTCACATAGACCTACTTTTATTCATGTTTAGCTGAGGCGGAGATGGCACGCTTACAGCCAGTGGGAGTATGCAGTGTAAATACCTTTTCTGTGATGTTTGGGTTGAGTTTCACCCTAAAACCAGCTGATCCATATTCAGAAATTTGCTCGGGGTCGAACACTCGTAAATCAGTGTTGCCTATTACACGACAAAATCCAAAAGTTGTAAAAATTGTGGTTTTTGGTTATGGTGCTGTAAGCTTGTAGCGCTGATTTTCAATTCTTCACATCTAATGAGAGTTTCAAATGGCTTTTCCATTCGGCTACACTTCATGTTACGATCATAAAACGCAGTTAAACCCAAAGTTAGACCAAAAACACATTCTCATATAAGTTTTCAAAGCGAACATGAATATTAACGTGAAATCCAAAAGGGAATTCGTGCAACAAGCTGACCTCTTGACCTCTTTAAAACTAGACGCTGTAGGCTACACGGCACAAGACGAGCTTCCCATAATCCTTTGCGAGCCAGCTTTGAACAGGGCTGGTGGCTGTTGTTTCAAAACGAATGCGGACCGCTGTTCAAAGAGTGCTTAATAGGTGGAGAGGTCAAAGGTCACTCAATCAAGCAAATACAAAGCCTGAGAAACGCGTAGGGGGTGGTGATTTAGTAGTTTGAAATGGGTAATATGAAACAGCAAGAAGGTAGAAAAAAAATAAGTCATAATAATAATGCAGTTGATCAGTGGTAACAGATTTCTTTCAAACCGAGCCAGGACTAACAAAAATGTTGGATCATCGAACATATAAAGAGTAGTTATAATCAAGATTCATTGGGAGGTGGTGACAGATAGAAAAGATGCAGCTCCACCCTAAAATAGAGATGTTAGATTATGGGAAAAAAGTACTACCAAAAATGAATATGTAGAAAAAGAAAATATACTTCCTTTTGTATCTGATTGGAGCCAATTGTCTTCATGATTAAAATTACACTGCCCTGCACTAAAATGTCCAAAACTGGCCTATTCTAAAATGTTCTTTCAAGGGCTGCAAAATATATCGCAAAAGGATCGATATTGCGATGCTGACCAGAGGTGGGACCAAGCGGTTGTTTTGCAAGTCTCAGGTAAGTCTCAAGTCTTTGTCCTCAAGTCTGAGTCAATTCCCACATCAAATACAGGCAAGTCCAAGTCAAGTCCAAGTCGTCTGCTTTGAGCTTCAAGTCAGTTCTTTAAACAAAAATGCCAAATATAACTTAGATTTTTGCAATTTATATGAATTTTACTAAAAAAGTTAATTGTACTAGAAAATGTATGGTATATTTATATATGAGTATTTATATTTTTCCTTTTTAAATGTCTTGACAAGATTTTAGCCTGAATCATTACGGTCAGAATAGAAAAAATTCAGATTTAAGTATTTAATAACTGTTATTTTGTCATGTAGTCTGCACTGAAATGGAAGCATCATGTTCTATGTAGTTCCGTCTGTTTTACTGTATTGTACTGTATATTACTGTAGTACATTTGAGGACACCACATCACTGTACGCAGTGTTGTGAAGGTTACTTTTAAAATGTATTCCCCTACAGATTACAGATTACATACCCTGTACGTAATCCATTAAATTACTTAAAGTGAGTAACGTAATCTGAATACTTTAGATTACTTGATTTGCTGCAGAGAAGCAATTATGAGGAAATCTTCACATAAGATGTTTTGTCTGCTAAAAGAAAATAAAAAGGCCAGACTTTACTGAACCAAATTAAAAATATTATTGATAGAAGAGGAGGAGACACGGTCCGCGTGACATGGTTTAGTCCTGTTAAATCCTGTTTTAGTCCTGTTTTAGTCCTGGTTTAGATCTAGTTTAGACCTGGTGTAGATCTAGTTTAGACCAGGTTTTAGCCCTGGTTTACATCTAGTTTAGACCTGGTTTTAGTCCTGGTTTAGATCTAATTTAGACCTGGTTTTAGTCCTGGTTTAGTCCTGGTTTAGACCTGGTTTTAGTCCTGGTTTAGACCTGGTTTTAGTCCTGGTTTAGATCTGGTTTTAGTCCTGATTTAGCACTGGTTTAGACCTGGTTTTAGTCCTGGTTTAGACCTGGGTCCAGTCCTGGTTCAATCCTGAATTAGTCCTGGTTTAAACTTGGTTAAAAAAAAAAAAAAAAAAAGGAAAAAGGGATATAGCCCAAAATGTGAAAACAGAAAATACCGCCATGTAATCCCATTTATTTCAACAAATTAACTGTAATCCAATTACCACTCATGGAAACAGTAACTGTAACTGAATACAGTTACTCATAATTTGTACTCTGATTACTTAACTCTGGTACATGTAATCTGTTACTCCCCAACACTGACTGTACTTCAGTTACACCCAAAGTATCAAACAGAAGTGGGAGCGACATGTTCCAGTTTGTTCTTTTAAAATTAAGCACCACATATATCAACTGTAAAGAGAAAAGTATTTTCTAAAAACATGTTTTTGTTTTTTTTAGGAGAAGCATCAAGTCTTCTCAAGTCACAGGCCTCAAGTCCAAGTCAAGTCCCAAGTCTTAGTCCATTTTATCAATTTTACTCAAGTCCTAAAAATAGTGACTCAAGTCTGACGTAAGTCCAAGTCACGACTTACACGTCCCACCTCTGACACTGACTGACGCAATGATCGATATTGCAACATACTCAATATTATATATTGAGTATAATTAAGTCCAAAATTTGTCTTGTATGGCTGCTATGGTCTCGGTTACATTTAGTAAATTAAAACCTTTTTTTTTTATTATAGCTGAAATCATGGAGTCAAAAAGTATATTAAAATATCACAATAATCACAACATTTTGAAATATTATGCAGCCTCAGTTCATTCTGTTCAACTTATCTGCAAACAGCAATAAATTTTCAACAATTAAATTGTCAGAAACCTTAATTCTCCAACAGTGAAGTTAAAGGCTACAGTAACATGTAGTAAGTTCTGTAATTGACTTACTGGGTCTTCTGGCTTTTGGCTGCCGTCATGGAGGGGCTCTTCATGGAGGTGGTCCCGGCGAATCAGGGTGAACTCTCGGATGAAAACGGCATCTTCGCCATTGGACGAAACACATTTCTAAAAGAGGGAAGAGGGGATTGTGTTACCACTCAAATTTAGGTACAATTAATGGTTTATATAACTCAAGGAAAGGTCCAGGCTGTTCACACAACGGCGAAACTCTTGGCCTGGAAATGATGGGTTCAGTTACAGAGAGTTTGCTTGTTCTCCCTGTGTTACTGTAGAGTAGGTTACAACAACACTCCTGCAGATATTGAAAATGTTGATGGGTTGGATATCAGTTCCAAGATGTCAGTTCACTCAATATTTCATTTTGGTCTATAAATCTGTGTAATAAGGAGATTTACTTGGCCAAAACACCTCGTATTATTGAACTTGTATTTTTTCAAATCTGTTCTGCAGTTGCTTTAGATTACAACACATTTGGGTAATATTTAACCATACGCTATTTGTGTTTAATGAAAATACATAATATTTCCAGTCTCTGCCCTAGTATCGGTTGATCAGGTACCAGCAGATGCTTAAAGCCAAAGTATCGACATCACTACGGGAACAGAAAAAGCTGGAGCGGGGCATCCCTACCATGTTTCACTTTTGGTCAGTCTAAATTAGAAATATAATGAGAAAATGTGCAAATAAATCTCAAACTGCATGAGACAGAACCAAGCCAAGTCTACATCAAAATTAAACTTTGTTCTTAACATGACCATGAAGACCATCCAACCACTGTCTGTTGAACTACGACAAGTACGTTTTGTACTTTTTTTACATGTTGTTCCTCCATTTGGTCCTTAACGTCTCTCCTCACAGGGGCGGTTGTTGTGAATTCAAGACAAAGGCATCACCACAAATGAGATGAGATCTTAGAGGCTGAAGTGCTCCACCTGTGCACCGAGACACGGGATCATTGGAAACGCAGCCGGACCCTTATTTTCAAAGAGGCACAAGAGGAAATAAGGGCACACAGCTGCTCTGCAATGGGTTACAGAAGTACAGGAAATACTCAGGTACTTACTAAATAGTATTAAGACAAACATGTGAGAAAGCAAACAGGATGAAGAACAGATATTGGCAAATAAAGTCAAATAAATAAAAACTATCACTAGCATTTGCTGACTGTTACTGTCATTAAGTTACTGGAGTCAGATTTATTTGCGCAACTTTTTGGGTGGAGGTTCTGTCATCTGCTTGTCTTCATGCAGATATTATTGTTTTGTCTAGAATTTTCCACAGTAGAGACTAAACCTATTTAGCTCAAGGGAGACAACTACAGAATGCATTACAGGTCAGATCTGTGGAGAGGCAAGCCTATTCACTAGCGCTGTGTATCAAAATGAAGTTGCTTGATACGATACATATCTCGATACATAGGCCACGATACACATATTGATGTGCACTTTCAATTTGATAAGATATATTTCAAGTTAATTCGATACAGTTCAGTAAAAATAAAGGTTATATCATGGCTGTGATATTAAGTGTCTTTGTTAAACCACTTCTTGTGCAAAGTTCATATGAAACACAAACATTTTTAATTCAGTGAAAATGTCAAATGTGTCGTATAAATACGTTTCTTTCCATTAAAAAAAGCAACAAAACTGTTGCGCTGTAACAAAATAATTGCGTAAAATACACCAAAAAATACTCTTGGTGATGTATCGATACAGCAGCTCATGATATCGATACTGTATCATCACATTAAGCGATACGATACATTGATATTTATATTTTTGAACACCTCTACTATTCACAGAGAGAATTATTGTATTTTTGCGTAATAGAAACACCCGCAGTGAATGGAAGTATTTAATGTCATACCATGGAACATTCCAAACAAAGCCATAACATCTCCACAGAGACAAGTGGCAGACCCTCCACCAGAAAAGCTGCGTAAAATTACGTAAATACTAAAGCTAAACCTGGTATTCGTGGTATTCGTGTGGGTATAACTATATACTGCTGAAACTCAAAGTGCTGAATAGTATTACTAAATAATAAGCATGAAAAATAAAATTTAAAAAGTTAAACAGTTACTAAATATTAATAACATTGTGTTCTTTCAGCTACTTCCACAAAACTGATCCCTGTTTTTTGTTGCAACTGCTACAGTTCTGTTACCACTATAACTACTGTCACTACGAGAGAGAGATTTTATTGATCCCAAGATTGAGTTTAACTTTACGATCCATGTTGTTTAATTGAAAAAATGTAATCAGTTATATTACACTGCTGTTAAATCTGCACACAGAGAAACAGTAGTGGGATAGGGAGCTCTGTAGGGGGTCATGTACTTAGCTGTGTGGGGAAAAACAAAATGGTGCTAAGCAACTGGTTCAAAACTACAGTGGGTGTGAGTGGGAAAAAGACTCAAGAGTGACTTAAAGAAGACAAATCCAGGCTGGTCTGGAGCTCTCCACTCAGAACAGCTTATCTGCACTCACTTTAAATACTGGGGAGGACTGTCTCAACACTGCAGCATAGGCACATGTGTGGAGTGTGTTCGGAAGACTGGGAAAAAATAGCCATGCAAAGGACTATGTTTCACAGTATAATAAATTCACTTAAAGGTGCACTGCACAACTTTTCTGGTGAACGGTCCGCTACTTACTTGTCTCTATGGAGATGTTGTTGCTTTGGAATGTTTCATGGTATGACATTAAACAAATCCATCAAGAATTTTTACATTACAGATGTTTTTATTAGCGCAATGTCGATGATGAGGCCCCACCTCCCACCCCCGTACGGTGGTTTTGACAAACGTAAATATGGTCACAGTAACCTGTATTCCACTGAGCCATGTCTTTTAATCCAACAGAAGTTGAACCGCATCAGCGCACAAGAGCTGTATTTTTTATCTTCGCTTTGTTTATGCAAATTAGCCATGCGGTGTTAAGTTTCGTTTCAGTGAGAGTTGCGCAAATCTGCATGAAACACATTATAATGTCAAACGGGCTGATGTGGCTCTAGAGTGGTTATGGTTTATATGTCGTAAAGTTGAATTTATTTATGCAGAGTAGTGTAGTGCAGATAGTAATAATAATGATGATCATTTTAATATAAAAACGTTAATGACTAATCGATAATCGATCGTTAATTCTTCCGACGATCGATTAAGAAAATTTCATCAAATGCCCATCCCTAGTTTTTATTGCTCAAAAATACAACAGTTCCTTCTGTGAGTAGGGGTGACTCTCCACAGACCTGAACTGTAATGTAGCGTAAAGCGGTAACCTACTTGTCTCCCTCATGATAGACAGGTTTAATCTACACTGTGGAACATTCTAGACAAAGCAGTAAAATTTCCATGGAGACAAGAAGGTGGCGGACCGTCGACTAGAAATGTTACGCAGTGCACTTTTAAAGCGTGTAGACTAATTTAACTGAATAATCATTATACTCTACACAGACTCCAAAATATACCGTGAGCTGAGAGGAGGATTTATGACTCTGACAGAGCTGTAATTACTGTAAATAAAATAAAAATTTAAAAAAAGATGTGTTTAAATAGTCAAGTCACCTCAACTATCACTTTAGTTTTAACTGTTTAATTTAATAATAATTGTTTTTGCGGGTTTACTTCTTCTTTTGTGTTTAGTTTGCACTTGGGAACCATCAAACAGAGCATTATCACCACCTACTGGACTGGGGTGTGTGAACCACTGAGAGTAGAATTCACAGATTATTCGTCATTTAACAACAAATCAGTTAATTAAAGAAAATGCTCACCAGATTAACTCATTAGCAAAATAATCGTTACTTGCACCATCAAAACTGACACTGGTTCAAGGTTTTCAGCCATTTCCAGCATCTGTAACGTCAGACTGTTAAACTGGACCCTGTGTGATTTTCTTTTTTCTAGTTTGAAATAATAACATAAGATAATTACTGACCACAGTCCAGAAACAACCCCAAATTTTGCCAGTGAAATCCTTCAGCCCTAACACAAAAATTTACTTTGTCAGTGGAATATTTGTCTATTTTCCATCTTCAAGAAACATCACCTTTCATAATGTTATGCCAGGAGGAAATCCTTTGGCCATTATAAAACATACTTTGGTTCAAGGAAATTAAATACGTCAAACATGTAACAAATACCCAACACACACATTCACCATTGAAATTTCTTAAAGTGTCATAACAACTTTAACATCTTGCACCCTTGAGTCTTGAATGCGTTTAGCACAGTGTGAAGACTAAGAGCTATTACAGCCCTGTGCGCTGAACTGAGAACTCTCCATCACCGGAGCTGGGAATAAATGTTGCACAACTCCAAACCAAGTGTAAAACCAACATACTACGCTACAACGGAGAAAAAAATGCCAGCTGAAATGTACTGAGAAACACTTAAGCCACCAGATGTCCTTGCTCAGGGCTGTATCGGGGCAGTTTTCAGAAGAATACTGATTGTGAACTTCCCCAGAGGTTTGGCTCCGGTTTTTTAAATTGTTTTCTCACACACTTTTAGACACAAAGTGGTTCTAAATCCGACAGCAGCTTCCTTTGTCAGTTTAAGGTTTTCATTCATCCTCCCACTCAAAGGCCTGGGACACACTGAGGAGGAATACTAAACATAAAGCAGAAAATGTGGGTATAAAGAAAACATGCAGAAATGTTTTTTATAAAGTTATGCAGTTTTATGGAGCTTTTGATATTAATATTAAAGGAGCACTGTCTAACTTTCCCGGGGAGTTATATGCCATGTGGTACTTTCTATGTTGGTGTTTCTCATTGTTCAGCTTGGAATGTTTCAAAGTATGGCATTAAACTTATCTATTGCCATGGAAACAAGCAGGCCAAGGTACAGATCAGATCAGTGGAAACACAAGAATGCTGTTTTTTAAAGGTATTTCTAGACAATAGAATCACTTCTAATGAAACAAAGGTTGAATACACTTTTAATGCCATACTGTGGAACATTAGCCTGTTTCACTTTGTGGAAACTGTCTGACCTCGCAGCATTAGAATTCATTCGCTCGACGGTAGGTGGGTACTTTATGTATTTAACCAATCGATGCAATTTGGTTGTGATGTATGTTATGCGTCGTTATCGGGGCTAA